GACTAACAAATCTAGACAAGATGGACTGACCTCTGTGACCCCTGCCCTGACTCGCTGCCTTCCCCCTGACTCCCAGCCCTCACTCGGATTATGCCTTCTGCTTGTCAGTTCCAAGGAACCATCAGGCACCTTGTTCGGTGTAATCACCACTTCCTCTTCCTGTTGGCTCCACGCTTGAGAGCTCAGCTTAGCCTGGGGACAGCTCCAGCTTCTACTTCATAGTCAGTTCTCAGATGGTAGTGTTCATCTCTTGGACACTAGGATCTCCAAACCTACCGAGCCCCGTGTTGTGGTGACGGGGGAGTAAAGGTCCTTCCCGTGGTCTATTAGGGTTCCTGGCTTTGGGGGAGGCAGCACCACATAGTGTCCTCTGGACGAAGGCATATACCACACGGCTGCAGGACAGCACCCCAGCTGCACAGGGTGTTGTCTCCCAGCTGGTATGGTAACTGCCCGGATAATGGTTCCATTTTCAATCAGACCAGCTGCTCCTGGATGCTGAGTCATGTGATAAGGCAGGTGAATTCTCAGAGTGAGAGCCCAGTGCTTCTTTTCTGGGGTCTTTGTTCATCAGTAGAAGTTTTTTTTTTTTAATGGTGGTGCTGGGGATTGAACCTAGGACCTCATGCAGGCTGAGCATGCTCTCTGCCACTGAGCTGTACCCTCCCCTCATCAACATAAATTTTGGAATCAGCTTTTCAAATTTTACATAGGCAAATCCTTTGCGGATTTTGCTATATCTACTTGGTAGGATTGATGTTTTTATGATAATGAGTTGCCCTAAACATGAACAAGGTGTACTTACATCTATTTAAATCTTATTAATACCTTCATAAAATTTTGAATAATTTTATCAATAAAGATCGTGCATAAGTTTTACTATAATTCCAGGTACCTTGCTTTTTATGCTATTGCAAGTGGTATTTTAAAATTCATATATTAATCATATATCAATCAATTTTATTAAGTTTTCTAATTCTAATAAGTTATCTGTGGATTCTTTTGTTTTTTCCACATAGAACATCCCACCGTCTAGGGATGATAACAGATTTATTTCTTCCCTTTCAACTATTATGAATCTTGTTTCTTTTCCCAGACCTTAATTGATTTTCTAGTATTAAACCAAACTTGCTTTTAAACCAACTTGGTCAGAGTATTACTTTCATATACATTGCTAAGTTTAGTATCCTCGTGTTTTGGTTTGGAACTTCTT